TGCCGTAGCAATGGCAACGCTCCGAAAGTACCACATGACGACTGGCAGGGTGAGGGGATGTCCTCCATAGCACAACAGGTCACAATACACATGGGATTGGTAGTATGTCAAGCTTCTTAAATAAATCTCTACATGTATGAGTTGGGCCCATCATTATTCTTATTATTTTCTTTTCTATAACAAAGCCCTTATGATTGTCTGATGTATTTCCCCAAACATCTTATTCCATATTGCACCAATTAATGATAATATGCATAATATACAGCTTTAAGACTATTTATATTTAATATACAGGATAATTTTTGCATTAGAAAACAAATTGTGCTCAACTTGCGAAACAAAAAATCGATATGTCCCTTACAAGTCAGATGATTGTCCAGCTGCAAACCGAGAAATGTTATCATTTCTACTTCCTTCAGCTTTTTGTTGAAAACAGTGTACATAGAGGGTAGCTCGTAGCTGCTGTTGGGGTTAATTTTATCATTTTTGTTTTATCTGGCTTTGACACTAATTGATTATTTTGAAACCACAAAAACATATGATTGAAAACAACACATGAAGTGACAGTTATTGGAATATAGAAAATCCAGAAAGTTCCACTCCATGCCATAAAAGTTGATGTTGTGGATATTCTGAGTTTAAAGAGGATCATGGTTCTAGTGTTTTATGCAGATTAAGTAATTCTGAGAAACGTGGAAGACAGATACTTCAAGCAGACCACTCTGTGACATTATCACTGAAGCTGATCAGTAAGGAAAGGTGGCACCCCATGCATTGAGGTCACATAGTGCATAGGCCATGCATCTGCCTAGCTGTCAGTCATGCTGTTTCATGTTGGTGGCATTTTTTTGTGTGCGTAATTGTAATATCTGTAACCATCTTTTTACAGGCATTGTAATGTCTTCCATATGGATCATGTTTTAGATTTGCAGTGTATGTATCTTAACTTTCTCCTTTTACATTTTCACTTCATATTTAACAATTGGATTTCTTTGTTTGTATTCAATTTGGCTTTTAATGTGTATCTGTTTGATTTTTAAGCCAGAATTCTGTTCTTTCATTCTTGTTTTTTCCATGTCTTGACATTCAAATGTAAGGTATCTGATTCACATCATGGCTGAGTCACCTATAATGACTGAAGTGTTTTGTTGTTTTCCTGAGTATCCCAGCAAATTCCAGAACAGTGCATTGCAGCAGGCTGTGACAACTTCAGCCATCTACAGTCACCTTATTATGTTTCTTGTGATGCCATGTTACACCAACACATGATACAGTATCTTTAAATAACTGAGCAACCAACCAGATAACTTCTTACTCTTAATGAGTCACTAATGTTGTTTTTGTTTTGTTGTTTTGCTTTGTAGTAATTAACTATAGTCATATCTGTAGCAATTTTTTCCACTTTTGTATGTAGATTTTATTTATTTTTGTGACTTTTGTCATATGCCATCACCTGATATGTACTTCGTTTTGTATGCAGCATGCTTCAAACACAAATCATGGCTCGATACTGGAATCAGGATATATTGGGCATTCTGCGAGGTGCTCAAAATGTAATTAATGCAATGGTGAAACAGCAAGAAGTGCAGTGCAAGCAGATTTGGGAAAATTCAAGTGTGAAAAGCATTGTTGAAGAAACCAGCAGTTCGGTAAACAGAGGAGTATGTCAAAGCTTATCACAGGGCAGCATTCAGGTTAGTACCTATTGACACCATTGTTCACATGTTTATGTCTGTGAATCTGTCAGATATGTTGATATGTGTCATCCTACTATATCCCTCTACCATTTTAATATATTCAGGTTATTGAACAAGGCACTCTAAGGGACACTGATTCCAGCAGGTTGTTTGTTTTTGGTTTAATTAGCATCCAGGACTTTAATGTCCAAGGGGACATGTCTCAGTACTTGAGTGACTGTGTGATACTCATAGGTATCTGGTTTCTTTTTAACTTTGTGTAGTCATTAATATTCAAGCTTGTGCATATGGTACTACGATTAATGCAAATTAGAATGTTTATTTACAGAATGATTCATCAGAAAGGCTGCAAGAAATCTTCCAGAGAACATCAATGGTATATGAAGGCATAAAGGGCTATGTAAGATTTTATGGAGGTAAATCAGTGTTAATGATACAGTGATAGCACTGTACTTATAGTTCAGAGTGGTGTGTATAGGTAATCAGTAAATCCACACCCCATCTAAAGTCTCACACACACATATATGTGACAATACTGTGTTTCTCACTTGAATGTACTTCATTTGTATCTCTGCTCCATTGTCATGATAACTGTCCTTACTATGAACTAGATATTCTACATCTCTTGAAGTGACATTGTAGCAGTTGTTTTGTCAATGGTAATTAAATTTTTGTTTTTTCATTTTCATTTATTTATTGCATTCAAAGATCAATCATTGGTACAAGACCACAAGATATAGAACTTGTCACAGAAGTACTTCGGTTTCCCCTGCCAAATAGGTTAAATAGGCTAAATAGCCAAAACATGTTGTTAATCTATTCTCAAATTTGATGTGTTGTGACTGATAAATATAGTGCTCATCATTTAATTATTATATTAGTATAAAATTATATTGTTCTTCTTATTATTCTATTATTGTATCATTGTATTGTCTTATTGTATCGTTGTATTGGATTATAGAGTGTTTTGACTTGTCCTGTGTCATGTATAATGATCCATGGATGTGAAGTGAATAAATAAATAAATAAATATGTGTATCATAAGCAATAGCAAAACGACATACATTTCATAATATACATGTATATATATAAATGCAACAAGCCATCATAAAATAAATGTTTTCAGTTATGTATACAATATCTATAATTAAAATGAATCTACAAGGACATCAAACCAATTACAGAATTATATAATAAAACAGTATACCTGTGGGATGTCAATGTTTGCTTGGACAACCACTTGAATCTATAACAACACATGTTCACTTCACTTTGAGCGGGAAGCTTGCCTGAAGAGTACCGGCAGCGACTCCTTTCATAGCGGCCAGTTCAGCCTGGTGGTGATGGTGAAAATTGCAGGCCCTGAAAAGGGCCAGTTGTCAAGCAGTGTCTTCTTGTAGCAGCCCAGTGTCGTCCAGGTGCAGCAGTGAGTCTGGCTGTCTGGTGGTGCAGTGGTGTGTGCACCAGTAGAATCACCTGCCTGCAGTGTATGCGCTGGCAGGGTTGGCTGTTTGCTGGCACTGTTACTGGAGAGTTACGGCAGCAGCTGCTTCATGACGTCAGCGTAGCTACGATGGCTGTGATCGATGGACTGATGATAAGCCAGTTGGAGGCCTGCATTTTTATACCATTACCACTGGGCGGAGCTGGCAATGGAGCTGCGATTATGAGCACTGATTGGCTGGTTCTTGTGTTTGTCTCCAGAGGGCTGGACTGCAAGCGGTGTATAAATATTGCTTTGTCCTGTTACAGGGTAGGAGTTGTCTGTTGTCTGTCAAACTGGTGAAGTTGTGTGTTAGAATGTGAGGGGTTCCTACATACCAATTAAAAATCTGAATCTGTGGTTTGTACTTGTTGCTACTAAAACTCTCCTTTTCCTTACTTCAGTCAACAACTTCGCAACAAGTACACCGTTTTCATGAGTTCCACACTCCCCCTTCTCAGTCACACTTATCCAATAAAATCCCTAATTATTTGCTCTCTAGACAGACAATATAAACAGCGTTCCATCTATGGAACAGCAGCAATAAAATGCAAAAATGTAAATCTTTATTTCCAACAATAATATTCCTCTACAGTATAGAAGGAACAGAATGTTCTCCATTATCCTTTCTCCATATCAGTGTATCTCAGAATGATAGTTATCTGCTCAACACAACTAGCATTTCTAGTGCAGTGTAACAACATGGCAAAATACAAGCTTCCTGGAAATTGTTGACATAATAAGGATGAAGTCTATGGACATACTCCCTGCCTAACTGGGTCCTGGAGATTTGTACTACTAACATAGTTGACAAACCTATCTTCTAACACATTGCAAATAAAACTGGCTCAGAAGTTGGGAATTCGCTCTTTTGTTGCCAGGAGAATGTTCAAGCTCAGTACTGACTTCAACAATTTGGAAGTGTTCACCAAAGGAGAATTGTTTGAAATTAGTGCTAGGCTTGAATAATCTTGAAAATACCTCAGACATCTGACATAGGAGACCAGGGTTTCATATATCAAGCTTACTCTATTTCCAGGAAAGAACTTTTTGATGCATGAACATAAACGTTAGTTATATTATTCCATGAATGAATATTATCAACATAATTGGTCATAAGTGTGTAAATTTGTAATTTATTTAGTTCAGTTAATATAGGTAATTTAAATAAAATTGTATTAATTCAAGTTTTATAGTAAGTTATTTTTAAATTATCTTACTAAATTTTTTACTTTATATTGTTATTTATGTTAATCGATTAATGTAAGTGAGTTTGATTATGTGACTCATGTAATTTTGTATATGTATCTTGATATATCTATGTTCATAGGAATCATTTTCACGTCCTAGGTTTGTTACCTGTATGGATATATGGAAAATAAAGGAAATGAACGAATGTATCAGGAATACTTGCATCACAGCAGAGTATTTACAGCATTTGTTGTAACCTGGGCAAGGATTCTTATATGTGTGTAATATGTAACGCAGTAGGTTTGTTGATTACGTTAGCAGTCTGAATTTCAGCACACAGCTAGATGGAGAGGAGTGTCCGACACCTTTGCTTGAATGTCTTAGCAGTGTTAAAGAAGCTGTGCGATAATCACACTGTACTTAACGTACAAGTATTTGATTTTGTTGGATGTTGTCTCCTTAAGTTTTGTTTTCCATGAACTGTCTTAGCTCATTTTATACTTTGTGGCTTAAATAGTAATCATGGATCTCATTTTCAGTTATGTGGTAAATGCTTGTGAAGCCTGGATCATAATTAGAAAAAAAATTCCATTCTTTACTGCCTCTTAAAATATTTTTGCAGTGAAAATTACTATCCTTCATATATTCTTTGATCTGGTTCAGTCACAGGCACCTGGCATACTACACTATACATCACTGTGAACTGTTCAGTATTATGTCAGTTTTGAGGTTTTCATGGCGATGACTATGAAGAAAGTCGTCTTCTGGGATCCGGCGCCATGTATTCTTTGTTTTAGCGGACGTTTCGGAGGAACGTATCGCCTCCATCTTCAGGGCAGGTGAATTGCGTTGCGAATACAGAGAGCAGTAGCTGTAATGATTAGAAAGTGAAAAGCGATGCCTACTTCCTATATAAAGCAGCGCTTTTCACTTCCTAATCATTACAGCTACTGCTCTCTGTATTAGCAACGCAATTCACCTGCCCTGAAGATGGAGGCGATACGTTCCTCCGAAACGTCGGCTAAAACAAAGAATACACGGCGCCAGATCCCAGAAGACAACTTTCTTCATGTTCAGTATTATGTTCAACTGACTGCATCATTAGATAGAATATTTTCCAGGTTCACTTTTCACTAGTCACAAGATTTTATATTTGAGTGTGTCTTTTTTCACTTAAACATGCAGCTCCTATAGTTATTATGAGTTCATGTTACACTACTTTGTCAAAAGAGTCATACTTAATCTCCGTCTACTCTAATATTACATAAAAATTACTCAGGTCCTTGTCACAAAAACTTGCATCCTCATTTATCTCTGGTAACTTAAGCTGAGATCTGCTTAATGTTGATAATTCTTCTCCAGTTTGCCTTTTATTCCTTTTAGATGTACCAGATTAATATTTTATTTGTGTGGCGTGATCCCCTTCAATTCCTGACATTGCTATTAACAAATATGTGACATTATTTTAAAATATGGCAAATTACTGTGGCTTCTTGACACAGCAAAAAATAATGCACATCCATTTATAAAAACAACCAGTTTTACCGAATTTGTGTTACTATATAACAGTTGTAAGCCCTGTAACAATTGTGAATGTTTCCGCTTACTTCCTGACTCTTACTGTTGCAGCAGCTAGGCAACAGTCTCCTTATGCCATTTCTTGTGAGCCTTTTTCTTTGCCATCTCAAATAAAACATATATTTAACTTGTTCTGAATACTGGTTAAAAACATCGTGCATTACAGTAAGACTAGAATATGTAAAGAAAACAATTTCACCTGTGGATAAATGAATACAGAATCCAGCTGAATACACACTGAAATTAAACTCTGAACAGTTGAGCATGCTGGGAATTTACATTTAGCAATTCATGCTGTCGGTCTGGTACAAGTGCAAGATGTGGGGCCCTTACTGAAGAGAAGCCCTGGGTGTTCAACCACTTCATTGCTGTTGGTTGTGATGATAGAAGGTAGACAAAATTTGCTCAGGATTTTGTTGAATGGCCAGATTTGGTATTAGTGATGTTGAACATTTGGCTTTTACTACTGTACAGTTATTCAGTATTATTGAGCACAATATCCTGTGTATCTAAAACAAAATATTGTTTGCAGGTCATAAGGTGTCACATAGTCAGCCAGAAGCTGATACTGATAATTCTAAGCTGCACAGCAATATTCTCCCTGAAGCCACAAAATATGAACAGAGTAATAAATACATGCCCAAGGAAGCAGAACCTGCAAACAGTAAAAATGGTTTTTCACAGATTGGTTTATTTGCCAGCAGAGTGCCAAAGCAAGATTCTTGTTCTAATACTGGAAACCAGGAACACAGTGTGACTCTACCTGAGTCAGTAATCGAGCCACAGGATATTCATGTACCAATACCACTGGTCCCCAAGCACGATAATTTGGAAACTGCAGTTTTGTCTGTCAAGGATGTAAGCACAACCAAGGTGCAGATGAAAAGGAAGCAAACGGTTTGTATCAGAGTTAAGAAAAATTAAGCGGCCTCCATAGTCTAGGGGTAACGTTTCCACCTCATGACTCAAGGTACGCGGGTTCAAACCCGGCGGAGGTTGTGGAATTTTTAAGGGCGGAAAAATTCAGGGAACAAGTCCTCTGGTAGGGACTTTAAGCCGTGGGTCCCTTGTCATAGCTTTACGGCACGTAAAAGAACCTCATGCCTCAAGGAGGCCTCTGAGCCAAATTATAACAGACATTTCCCACCCAACAATAGTCTCTAACGCCTCTGGTAGATGGGGTGAGCATCTACATACCGCTGAGCCAGTAGAGGCCGAACTCGCTGGCTGAGTCGGGACTGATGGCACGCGCCAGTATCGGTAGGGTATAGAGACTGGTAGAATATCACAGGGGGACGTACAATAGACCACTGGTCACGGTGCATGGGGAAACCCACCCCCTTCAATAATAATAATAATAATAATAAAAATTACATGTTTTGGGTACACTTGTTTTATCATATTCAAAAGCTGAGGTGATGCTTTTTTGATCTTGTAATTCAGTTTTTCGGTTTCAATAAGCAGTTAAGAGAATTTACATTTTACTGCATGGATTCACAAAACAGTATACATACCTCTTGTGTTCTTAACATTGGAAGGGTTAAGGGATTTATACCACAGATGTCACAATATAATTTTCTGTCCATAGTGTGAGAGTTATCTTTCAGAAAAGCAGTATTCTATACATTTATGTATGCCTTTCATCAATTCAGTGCGGAAAACATGGGTAACAGGAAGTTTAGAAATGCAGGGGACTCAGCCTTTGACACTAGGGTAGTATTTGTCAAAGAGAGTTTCTGTTACATGTATATATTTGTATGTGTCAGCAAGCACTCGCACATTATTTCTATTTATTGCCTTTAAATCATGATAAAAACGGATTTTCATTTTACAAATGTTTGCTTAACAAATAACTTTCAATCAACATCTCCCTTTCATGGAATGAGCTAATATCTGTCATATCTTTGCAGCTTAGTGAAACAGCCAAGCAGAGGAAGGTACCATCATCTCGAATTGCTCGCATGGTATCATTTGGTGGCTTGGCAGCAGGGTTGGGGATTGGTACAGTGGCTGAAGTAACTAGAAGATCTTTAGGGCTAACAAATGAAGAGCCAAGTGTAGGAAGAGCACTTGATAGTGTTTTCTTATCTGAAGCAAATGCTGAAAGGATTGTCAGCACTTTATGCAAAGTCAGAGGTATGAGATCATGATATCTAGCATATCATACTATTTTATCATCATAATCATCCTCTGCTATAAAGAAGATATGACCTTGCCTTTCTCTCCCCTACACAAAACCACGCTTGTCCCAGCTCCCTTCCCCTACCCCTCCCACACTACTGCTTTCACTTGTATACTTGCCCTTCCCCCTTCTCCCTCACTGCTCTCACATAGCTGTGTATTTTTCCACAGTCTGCTTTTACCGGTTCTCACGGTCTCTTTGCTTGCAGATTTCTTATATATTTTTTCTTCTACCCTGAAGATGGAGGAGATACGTTCCTCCGAAACGTCGGTTAACACCACACACACACAGTGCCAAATCCCAGAAGACTGCTTTCTTCAAGATATGACTCATTTTGAATAGTTTTCTGAAATATCTCCTACTTAGGAGATCTGGTTCATATCAATCAGGAAAACTGGCTTTTGTAATTGATGTACAGTAAAAAACCATTTAAGGTGATAAAACTTAAGATGTGCTCCTGCTTTAAATGTTAAAATAATTTAGTTACAGAATTTTTCCATGTGACTTGTATATTTTACCCTTTTGACCCATTTCGTGTGTTAGAGGATTTCTCACCTAAAATGCATGTAACAGATGCCACAGAACTAATGTTTTATCCACTTCACCAGTCAATACAGCATTTAAAACCTGCTAGTTGTATGCTGGAGTACATGGTAGCATAGTTGGTTGACACAGTATGCTACAAGCCAGAAAGTCATGGGATCAAATCCCAATGTCATTAGACTTTTCATTTGACCTAATCCTTCCAGCTGCACTATGGCTCAGCCTCTAACAGAAATGTGTACCAGGAATTTTCCTGGGGGTAAATGGTGGGTGGAACATAAGGCTGACAACCTTACCACTATCTGTGAGCCAGCTGCCTAGAAGATGTGGGAGCCTTAACATCTCTCACCCCTATGTGCCTCCACAGCCTGTTACAGGGATAGCTTTACCTTACCTTTACCAAGTTCTATGTTGCAGTGGTATTTAAATGACCCTGTACTAGGTATCTGATACAGCATATTTCACTATAATATAGTTTAGAAATTACTAAATTGAACTTCATTAAATTTTCAGGAGGCAATACAAATCATCTAAACTTTCATGCAGCAGAATATATCACTCATTTCTAGGCCATGCAATGTACTAGGCAGCGCCATTTTGAAGCCACAAAGCGGCTGGTGTGATGGTCACATAAAATTCCTTACAGCTTCTACGAAATCATTTGGTCAGAAGAAACAAATACTACAGTAAAACTACAGTCTTTGGAGGTATAATGCCTCAGTTTCATTCTCTGCTAAAAAGTGGCAGAGCAGTGACAATTTTTCTGTGAGCTTGCAGTTGGCAAGTTGAGTGTGTACTTGGGATACTGGATTCAAGGGTTAATACATTTCTGTTTCAAAATGGGTGTATTTAACTTCCCACATTCGACTTGGTGCTACATTTTCCAAGATTTCAATTTAATTCAAGTGTGCAGTGATCAGATGAGCATTTGCTTATTTTGTTTTAAGGTGCTCCCAGTAGCTAGATCACATAGTATTGAATAGTAGGATGGTAGCTGAATGATTAATTGAAAAGGATTTGGAAGGAAGCAGTTATGACTAATCAAGGTATTATCATGATGTAGCTGGTGTCCTGGTGGAGATTCAAACCAAGCATCTCCCAAACAAGAGTCTGAAGTGTTACTACTATTCAAACCCATCAAGTTACCTTTCACTTAGCCTCCTACATGGCAAGCACAGTTCACAGGGTACAGCTGCTTGTACTCTTGCACAACTAGAAGCATAATTGTCCATGATTTATTCCAGCCGTCTTACAGTGCATACACTCATCCACCTCACTCTTCACTCCTGCACTACATGTTTCGGCACAAAGGTGCCATCTTCAGGTGCTTTTCGATTTACGTTAAACTACTTCACTGCATGCCTTGCCGTCCTCATACTAAAATAACTAAAATATATGTTCATCATATATATTGATAAATATTAAATATTAAAAATATTAAAACTGTTTAGGATTTTTTATCCCTACGTCGCATCTCAATACGCGAGTCACACCTATCCTCTTCTATCGGAGCACTCTTCCTACTTTCGTGTGTATTATGCTTTGTGTTGTGTCTTGCTCCTGTGACTGCATGTATTATACGTGTGTGTTGAAGTCCCACCAATGAACAGAGAAACTAAAACAGAAATACTTTTCACCATCAGTTGAGAAATTAATGATTTTGATGCATGCCACATAGCATGATTTTTCGTGAGTGCCGTGTAATAAATGTAATACAGCTATTTCAGGTTTTATGAACACTCGATTTATGAATTTTCTCTACAGTGAAGTATGTTAATTTTTGTTTAAGAGGTTTCATTTTTGCTGCAATGGACAGCATATATTAGAAGTGTTTTGTTAAGGCAGAGAAATACATCTGAAAATGTGGAGATGTGGGACTTATAATAAATGTTAGAGGCATGTTTTTCTCTGCAATATTTGTGCATTGCATTTACTAGGTTTATCTGAAAGTTCCTGAAGTAGGTCAGAAAAGATATACTGGTTTGCTCAGTTTTGGCTGCCATCTCCGTCAGAATAGTTTCCTTGGGAAAGTATACAGCGATCCCATCGTTTTTTCATGCTTAAGAAGCATTGTGGAAGTAATGTTCCTTAATATTGAGTACCTCTTGTGATTCCCTTTGAATGTCAGACACTGTTTTGAAATGTCACCCCTTCAGTTTCATTTCCAATTTGGGAAAGAATGCAAAATCACAGGCTAATTCTGGTGAGTAGGGAGGATGGTGAATGATAACCATGTTGTTGTTAGTCACAAACGCTGTGGTTTTCAGGGATGTGTGCGGGCACATCATGATAAAGGAGCCAGTTGTGGTTGTGCCAAAGTTACGCCCTTTTTCATCACACGTTTTCTCTCACATGTCTCAGAATGTCACAGTAAAAGTCAGAGTTGACTACTGTTAGGAGGAACAGATTCACAGTGAACATTCCCTTTCATGTCGAAATAACAATGAGCATGCTCTTTGCTGAACTCTGGACCTGCTGCGCCTTTTTTGCTCCTGGTGATTATGGGCTCTTCTACTGCAATGATTGTAGCTTTGTTTCTGGATCATAGCCATAAATCCCACTTTCATCACCAGTTATGATCCTAGAGATAACCGTTGGGTCCTTGTTAGCCTTCTCTTGCAGCTCAAGGCACCTGTTTACAGGCCTCTGCTTTTGATCATTTGTCAAGAGTCGGGGAACAAACTTCGCTTCAGTGCAGTGCATGTTCAAATTTTCCCTTAAGATATAGCAAACTCCATGCCTGATCCCAGCTGTCATTATTTTAATGCTTATTTACTGTTAAGAATTTTTCTAGGACTCGTGCACAAGTCAGCAACTTTTACATGTAAAGTAATGGGATTATAACTTTTTATTTATGAACAGTTTTCATGGAATGAATTGCCCATAAATTGAGGGATACCTGTAGTTATTGAGAACAGTACTTGACTAAGTCCACGCTTTTATAATACTTGTCCATTTTGTGTAAAATGAAAGGAAGTAATATATATAATAACAGTAGCNGGTGTTGTCGCTTGCAGATTTACTTATACTTCTTCAACCCTGAAGATGGGGGCGATACGTTCCTCCGAAACGTCGGTTAACACCACATATACACGGTGCCAAATCCCAGAAGACTGCTTTCTTCAGTAGCAACAGTAATCACATGAACGTCACCACCAAAACATCAGCGTAATGAACAACAATAAGGACACTGACAATATTGACAACAGAGGACAGTGATGTGGCAGTAGTGACAAGATGACAATGTCAATAAAAGTGTGACAAGACAATGATGAGATGAGGATAGGACAGTGACAGTAGCAGGAAGAGATGGAGACAGACAAAAATAGAATGATGACAAGCAGGAGGAAGAGTAAGAGATGGAGATATTCAGCCTGCACACTTTTTAAAAAAAACTATACACATTAGAAACTATTTTGCAAATGTTGCCAGCATAACAACTGAATGCCAACTACCAGCTTTGCTGGGTTTGCTAAGCCACGTGATGAATCCAAACACTTTGAAACAATCTGCATGTAAAATAATTGACATATATATTGTGGCATATTTGCTCAAAGCAAGAACTGTGAAGCCAGCAGAGACAGCCATTGCTAGGGAACGGCTCTTCAAAAGTGCCCTTTGCTAGGCATCAGCTTTGTAACATGCAGCAGTACCAAAGCCATCACTGAGCAATGTGCCCATGGAACAATGGAGGAACTGTTGAAAGCTGTGTTTTCTGTGTGGTCCATGCCAAGGCTATATATAATGAGGACCAACTGCCATTAGAGAGGGTATAGAGGCAGGCAGTCAGTTGACAGTTGCAGTAGCCGAGATCAGGGCAGTTCGGGAATCCAGAGGAAAGGGAATGTTCGCTGTTGGAAGCCACTACCAAGGAACGCAGTGAAGATCATGACTGAGAACACTAATTGGTTTGTGATAGTGATTTGTAAAATGTAGTCACGAGTTGTTAAAGCGTTCAGTAAATCCAGTTGCCAATCCACACCTCTGTAGTCACGCTCTATCACAGGATGTTGCACATTTAAGTAATAAAATGCTTAAAATTATAACAAAAACTCACAATACAAGTCCCCAGCCAAAAAGAAAATGACAGAGCTTGAACATCCCATTTGTATCACAGGCAAAAGAGAAACTAAGCAGTTATATCCTTTCCTTGTCTTGGCCTCCTCCTTCATGTTATCCAGACTGAGGTGGCCAACTTGTTTGATGTAAAATAATACACAGTTCCATGAAGTCTGGACAAGATAAATGACAAAAAGAGAGGAAGAAACAACACCTGTGTTATCTGAGATGGAGTGACAGCACATTTTAGAATGACATAGATTGCTCAGAAAGCTAGAAGCAAATGATTGGATGTTTTTGAAACTGCTTTATCCAAGACAGAATCAGTATTTGACTGCATCCTCTATCTTGTCCAAGTGGCAGTATCAAAATAATGACTGTCTCTGATAGAAATAGTCATTACAAGAAAAATGCAAAAATCCCTAAAATGTTAACGTCTTGGGCCAGAAACATGCGATTTACTCCTACACATTCAGAAAACATAGCCTTTCACCTGAGCATGTATTTCATCTGAGTGCACATTATATATGATTTTGAAACTTGAAGCAGTAGACTTGAACTTAGCAACACAGTACATTTCTTAGTAGCTAGTAGTGCAATATCAGTGGCCATGCCTCTAATGTCAAGAAATATGAATTCTACTATAACTAACAACATTTAAGTGCTTTTCCCATAAAGAGTCTGTTTTTACAAGCATTTTTTTTCATGTCTTCCTACATTCCCAAAGAATATTATAAAATATATAATTTTATTATACAGTGTTTGAGAATTAAATCTCCCTTTTGGGAAAGTTCTTAAATGCTGCTTACATGGAAAATGGCTGCTAGTTAAAGGACACACAGCAGCATACTCCAACTAAAGACTTAATACTCTGTAGCAACTTTGTCTTGGCTTATTATAATCTGTTTACATCCCTTTTTGTCCACAAACAGGTTTCTGCTGCATATGTCAGAATAGGCAGGTAATACATTTTGTATAACGTTATTCCAGCTTTTCTGAAATTCAGAATGGTAATTTCTAATAATGTAATAAAATATCCAGGCTCTGCAGATTTCCTCTGTAATTATTCTAACAATAGTGATTACATTTAATTTAATTATTTGTAACTACAGTGCGTACAATCAAGTGCGCGCCGCGGCTGCAATTTGCCGTGAGTCATACCACCGCAGAACGGATGCAACTCCTCCCCGCGACTGCAGTGCCGTTCCCCGATAGCGTGAGTGTAGTGGTGTCGCTGAGTCTCCGTCCATCAGTTGCTCTACATGCACACATTTATAAGAATACAGT